CATCTCTTTTAATCTCCTTAGTCAGTACGACGTAAAACAATCTGGTATTTATACAAGCAAGTTTTGACAACTACAATCGTTCAACGGACAATAGTCCGGGTGGAAGGTGGGGGATCACTTCCAGTTCAAGTTACGTAGCCCGATCTTGTGTGCACAAAAGTTTCTGACACAATCAGTCAGACTGCCTTGTAAGTGATTCCTCTACCCTGACTATTGTCCGTTGAACCATTGTAGTTATCAGAAGTTGTTTGTATAAATACCAGATTGTTTTACGTTGTAGTGACTGAAGACATTAAAAGAATTTTTTTATTACACACATTTGTGTGGGGAACAGCAGACGGGCGAACCCCATAGCCACGGAAACATGCTGCTCCGTCATGGAAACCGGTAATCTAAGCCCCGGGATTTGGAGTGGCGAACCACGTGAGACCCCGCTAGGTAGGGTAAGATTTTGAACGGGACGACAGCAAAGCTGCCTACTACCAAAGTTGGGTGGCGGTGGCGGGGCTCGGACCTCAGGGTCTAAAGCACGCCAGTGACCGAGACTAAACCACTGCGTCACCATCACCCCGCATTATTTGTCTTCTCTCTGTGCAACCAATAGCGAACTGTTGGTAAAATAACTTGATAATGACCTTGATATTTTAGAAACTTTTTTCAAATGTGATAGTAATGAAATTGCTTATGACTGAGTTCCAACCTCAACTGTTAGAAAAATGAAACAAACCTTTTTCGAGGTAAACCACAATTTCATCGAGGTATTACCCGATTGATGTTCGGGACAATTTGGTTTCACCTGAACGGTTTCTCTACTGCAGGAAATCTTTTAATTGGATTTGTGAGCGGCGAATAAAATGAAACATTACTGGCACCGTATCTGCAAAAATTGGTGGTTAATAAATGTTACTTTAGGAGAGATCAATGGATCAGCTGGTTTCTGTTGGCAGATTAATCCTTCCATGGGCAGATTATAAGTTTATTAAACTTCGAGAATCTTTCCCTGTAAACAACTCTGAGGACCGTGGAACTGGATGATATTCATCTCTTTTGCTTGCCTTTCTTTGATTTGCTTCATAATTAACTGCTCGGAATATCCATTCTTGTTTAGTGTATTTTTCAGTTTTCCTAAGAAGCAAACATTGCGGTTTTACGTGTCAACCCGTGCATTTCAGTTGAAAAAGTTTTGAAAAGCCTGTTAGTGCTCCAATTAAGTAAAAATTCCGAAGCGCACACATTGACCATTTCATGTTTTTTTTCGGTGCACACATCTTGAGTTTGGTTGTCTTCCGATTGTTGAAGGTACTTAGTTCTGCTGATCCACAATGCATGTCGCTTCTTCATTGTCATCTATAATGACTTTTATATCATCTACCTCCGTTCCTTCGATGGTATTACAAGCTACTTCTTTACAGTGTACAATCTGGCAGTACTTAGTCGGTTTGTATTTGTACTTAACATATTGCGAGCTATACACTGGCTTTCAGCCATTGTGACCTCATCGCACTCTCAGCACACTTGCTCCTCTAGCGGAAATGATACGTCAGTCATGCTTGTATGTACCTTATGAAGTTGTTCCTCTCCTACACGATTGTGTATAATTTGCTCGATTTTACGGAACTAACATTGTCTCTTGTTTGATCTTTTTGGATTTTGTTTGATGTGGCGGTGTCGATAAGGACAAGAAATAATTCCGGTTGCTAGGTGCATTGCAAATAATTCTCTTGTGGTAAGAATGTCCGTTCTGCGCTGCCAAAACCAGTAAAGACCGGCTTAAGTGGATAACTATGGACTATGGTGGTCCATTGCTACTTCTGGGGTCTAAGTTGACTCATACAGGTGTGAAATGTAGTAACCATAATAAAGGATACAACATTCGGGAGCGTTTGAACGATCGGTGCGGCCTCGTAGCTCAGTTGGTAGAGTATGCGCGTAAAAAGCGTAGGTGGCGTCCATGCGTGGGTTCGAATCCCACCGAGGCTACTGAACTTTTCATAATCGGCATATAAAATGTCTCACTCCTTGAACCACATCGCAGCTCATTACCGTACCTTACGGAGCTCTTATTTCTAAAAGCGAATATTAAGCGATCGTGATAGGAGAGTTTATTTTTACCGGTCGCCACAGAGGAGTTTGTGATGAAAAGTATCTATCTTTTGGATTCTCCTCTCTGTGAACCGAAAATTTGAGCCATCCTGTTTACCACCTGTCAGAGGGGACCTAACTTTCCCCTTAGAATTCCCAGTTTTAATTTGAAAATGGAATGAAACCAATCCCCACCGTGGGAAAGTGCCGGTATTTTCTCGATGTCTGTGGATCCGTGGGACCCAGATTAACGAACGGAATACGGCAACCTGATTTGTCCGTTCTCTCCATCGGCGCTCTCGTAATCTCTATTCCGAAAAAAGTTTAGACAGTGTGCAACTCAATACGGCACGGTTCTCTCTTAGTCAATGCACTTTCTCTGACACCAGCAATAAACGCTCACACTTCTGCAATTGTCTTTTGACTGGAATTGTCGGGAAGTATCTCGCGGGTCACAATTTGTTGATAGTCTAGCAAACACCACACCACACCAAGCTTAGACATGAAAATTCCACTGATTTGATATTGGTTTCCGTTGGTGAATCATGGTTATCCGATTTTAGGTATCGTAATTTCTCGTCGGTCTTCAATTAATAATGAACTTTATTGGGAAGTTCTTTGTGCATCACCTATACTCTAGTCTATTCGTGTTTCCTGTGTCGTTTGTTTCTTTCGACTTTTGGCGCTCTTTATTCGTGTGGTACTTCTCGGGATGACTTTTGATGAATGATAAGTAGTGACAACTGATGCCGTTGGGTGCGTGAATCTATTGTACTTACCCCTTCCCTCTGGGTGGTCTTTGCAATAGGTGTAACCGATCCAGAACTCGATTGCCCTTGTACGGCGGTCGCTCACTGTGCTCCGTCACTTAACTCTTCTGGATGGCCAGGATGGTCACCAACCGAGCCATCTTTTGCTCGCATGCCCTGGATGTCTACGGGTAGTCCAGTAGTGGTCGCCCCGCGAGATCGTATGGTCGTTGTTGGGACAAAGCGAGGCGATGTCTGCTTTGTGGATTTACGCAAGCCCAGTGTTCTGCACAGTTTTAACGCTCACGAGTCATCCGCGGTTCGAACATTATGTGTGGACCAGGCATCCGATTGCCTAATCACAGGCGGTGCAGATGGAATCGTTAAGGTTTGTGAACCGATCCCGCTTCAGTCACTAGTGATTGAAATTCATCTATCTCTTTGTCATATTAAACCTGTTTTCATCTTGACTGGTATCCTGTCTGTCCTACTATTTCAAGTTAGGTTTGACTGCACATTTATATAGGTACTCATGTAGTAGGCAGTTAGGAAGCACTAAGTAAAGTTAAATCTATTTTGATCAATATACACTCTGAACCACTCAGTTTGTCACGAAACTAAGGTAATGGCGTTTGTCCAATCTGATAGTATACGTATTCGGTATGTTCGTTTTGACAGTAAACTCCCAATCTGACATGTGAATTCCATGTAGTTTTGTCATTGCGACGCTTATTAAGCTTCTTATTATCTTATCGTATTTTGTTTGCACTTATCTGGTTTCAAATGTGTTATTAATCACGCTAAAAACACCTTTGGTACGAAGAAACCAAACCATGGCCTGTTTGTTTGTGCAATACCGTTAGCTCAGCTGAACCGTAGCATGTAATTGTCGGGGGGATTTACGATGGGTCTTTTGGATAGTCAAAGCCTCATCTAAAAACGGGAATTTAGAGGTCAGTGTTGTCGGTCGAATGAAGCCTTTCCAGTTTGATTCGCCCTTTTGGGGGCGGCCGTACACCCTATCACCGGTAACTGTCGCAAGCAGGGTGTTCTTGAACCAGTTTATACACCTTTTTCGTGAGATTTGGAGTATATATGTGTATATGCTTTAAGGGACGTACTCTTATGACATTTCTTGGATTGAGACTACGAAACCTCGCCCACTCTCGGAGAAACTGGCCTTTTTACCGGAGGATAAATGAAATACCTGCATCTGTCTTTGTCGTCGGAATACACCCGTAAATTTGAAGCAAATCAGTCGGTCTGCAGGCATTTGCTGAAGTAAACCTGAATAAACAACGCAATGTTGCTATTGAGCCCAATTTAACTTCANAGTGAAGATGACCTAACACGATGCCTATTTCACTCTTCCGACTACCTGGCTACCGCGGCATTGCCACATTTATATAAATCTTCTTCTGATACAGCAGGGGCTTTCGGCATTTAATTATCATGAAAACTTAACAGCCGTCCATTGGAGATTGTGTGCATAGCTCGGAACAGTGTCTCTCAATCGGCTTTATTCAAA